TTTTTTTTTGTGTCGCCTCTCTCTCTCTGGATTGGAATGTGTCTGTGGGAAATTGCGGTGTTTATATCTGGGGGACAGGTCTTGTATGTAACACGCGCGGACGAGATCACTCATTCCCCACGCCAGACCGGGTCAGACGGTGTCTGTGAGCTGTGTGTGAAAATCGAAAGTGAGGTCAACTGCTCCCAGCGCACTTCTTTTGCCTCACTATAAACAATCTGATGTGCTTGAAGCTAACGCAGTGCGCTAAGCGCCGTGCCTTGGAGGGTTGCCAACTGACGAGATAACTCGGACCACGTTACCAGCCCATTATGTGGGTTTTTGATGAAGTTCTTGACTGGCAAACTGATATTCGGCCTGCAATGGCTGCTTCTTACTGTGCCCCCAATCAACTGGGATGCAAGCCCGGTGTGACAGACGTCGCCAGCCGCCTGCACCCTCTCCAATCTCCAGTCTTGGTCATGAACCCGTGCCTGGGTAGGGGAGGAAAGTGCAGTAGATGCATCACGAGACTGTAACCTATCTCACGCACAATTTAGCCTCCCTTAGCCCCCACGCTGGTGTTGTGCACACAATGGAGCTTGGTGAAACCGACGTTCTGTGCGTGCTTGCTCTAGGGCGTCCATGTCCGCCGTAAGACGTTTTTGCCCTGATCTGCTTGGCAGAGACATGTGATTGGTCAAGCGGGTGCAATGCTCCGCGCACGTCCGTGTCGTCTAGCCTCATGCCACCCTCCTTGCTGGCAACTCTTCCAAACTTTAATTTCATGTTTCAGATTGCATTTTCAAGCCAACTTAACCTGTATGCGTTCTCATCCACCCCCTGTTCCTTCGCTTCCCGTTGGTCCTTCCTCATAGGTGGGATTTGGTTAACAACTTTGCGGAGAATGTAAAACAGTCGGTCCTGGAATCTGAGGCTAGTTCTGCCTTCGGTGCGCACTTCAGTTGGTTCAGTGGTAATTCCTGTGCCTACATCCTCGCCCCGTTTGGCAACGACTCCCTGGCTGAAGTCAGCGACAGTACTCCACAATTTGTCTGTTTCACTGCCAGAGATCACACGAGCCTCGAGGTGAGTACTGCTATGCTCATATTCCCTTATGTTCTGCTTATTACTCAGCTACTGACACA